GGCAAAGATCTATACTCCATAGGAACCTGGAATGTAAGATCCATGAATCAAGGCAAGCTGGATGTGGTCAAACAAGAGATGACAAAACTGAACATCGACATCTTAGGAATCAGTGAACTAAAATGGACAGGAATGGGTGAATTTAATTCAGATGACCATCAGGTATACTACTGCGGGCAAGAATCCCTCAGAAGAAATGGAGTAGCCTTCACAGTCAATAAAAGCGTAGGAAAAGCAGTACTGGGATACAACCTCCAAAATGACGGAATGATCTCAGTTTGAATCCAAGGCAAACTATTCAACATCACAGGAGTCCAAGTCTATGCCCCAACCACTGGTGCTGAAGAGGCTGAAGTGGACCGGTTCTATGAAGGCCTACAACACCTTCTAGAATTAACACCCAAAAATGATGTCCTTATCATCATGGGGGATTGGAATGCTAAAGTAGGAAGCCAAAAGATAACTGGAATAACAGGCAAGTTTGGCCTTGGAGTACAAAATAAAGCAGGGCACAGGCTGGTAGGATTTTGTCAAGAGAATACGATGGTCATAGCAAACACTCTTTTCCAACAACCCAAGAGACAGGAGATGGTGGAGGACAGGAAGGCCTGGAGGAGTGTTGTCCATGGAGTCGCAATGGGTCGGACACGACTTTGCGACTAACAACAAGAACAATGAGTGTTGGCTGAGGCTGTTGTCTGTGATCTAAGAATGAGGTGCTTACATAAGAGTCATGCGGAAGAATAATATGTTCATCAGGTGATGTTATTGTTTACTTTGAAATGGAGTGTGCACAGATCATCACTAAGTAGCTTGTTGAGTTTCTTGCTGATGACCTTTGCTCAAATTATAAAAAGCATTCTCTGCTTCCTTTTTAATGAAGGCCAAGAAGGCTCCATCCCTGTTGTCCTTCCACGTCAGGCAACAATGTTCTTTAAAAAAACAAACAAACAAACCAGACGTTTGCTGTGTTAGAAAGACAATGTGTAGTGGTTAGTATGTTGAACTGGAAGACCTGGGTTCTAGCCCCCACTCAGCCATAAAGCTCCCTGAGTCAATTTGGGCCTATCACTGACTCTCAGTCCAATCTATGCCCCAGAGCTGTTGTGGGGATAAAATGGAGAGAAGCAGAAGAATTATGTAAGCCCCTTGCAGGCAAAAAGGTGAAGTATAAGTATAATAAATATATACGTTCACCTGCTGCTGAAGTAAGCTTCAATCTGCTGGTTGCTGATGTAATTTAATCCATGAGTTGTTGCTGGGCATGATTTTAATTTGAGAATTTTGATGTTTTAATTATAGTTTTACTATTTTATGAGACAAATTGGATAGATTACAATTATTGAGGCATGAGGACCCGGACGAGGTCCTTGAACAAGTCCGTCGCACCTGTTTACTTGACCCTTGCCCTTCATGGATGCTCATCAAAGCCAAGGACGGGGTACATACCTGGGTCCAGGAAGTTGTTGACACATCTCTGAGGGAGGATCGGGTTCCTGCCGCCTTGAAGGAGGGGCTGATCAGACCTATCTTGAAGAAGGTGAACCTGGACCCAGAGATTGCCACCAATTATAGACTGGTGGCTACTATCCCGTTCTTGGGCGAAGTGATCAAGTGGGTGGTGGGTGCATGGACAACTGCAAGCTCTCTTGCAGGAAAGCTCTCTTGGTGCTCATCTAGACCCATTCCAGTTGTGTTTCAGGCCTGGTTATGGGACTGAAACTGCCTTGGTCACCCTGTACAATGACCTGTGCCAGGAGAGGGATGGGGCAGTGTGTCTCTGTCGGTTCTCCTGGACCTCTCAGTGGCTTTTGATATCATTGGCCATGGTATCCTTCTGGTTAGGCTGACTGAGTTGGGGATTGGAGGCACCGCTCTGCAGGGGTTCCGCTCCCACTTGGCTGGCTGATTCCAGATGGTGGTGCTGGGGGATTATGACTCTGTGCCATGGCAATTATGCCATGGAGTTCTGCAGGGCTCCATTTAATCCCCGTGCTGTTTAACATCTACATAAAACTGCTGGGAGAGGTCATCCAGAGGTTTGGGCCGAGGAGTCATCAAAATGCTGAGGTGCGCCTGGTGCTGATACTTTACTCATTTCGGTGCCAGGCCAAGATCTTCTTATTTTCCAATATTTTAAGGGCTGATGTGGTTTTAATATGGGGTTTTATCTAGTTATTTATTTGATACTGCTCTTTATTGTTATACTGCCATTCTGAGAACTTGGTAAAGGACAGGGCAGAAATGCTTTTAATAATAAATACATACATGCATAAATAAAAATTATTTTATTTTAGTGTTAGCTGTCTTGAGTGCTATTTTGGAGGAAAAGGCAGGATGGAAATTCAATAAAATAAATGACTACAAATATTGTATCTGTGGTGATAAGGAAAGAAAGTTTCATCAGTGGCAATTCACATGGAGTCCCATCACTTGATGCTGCTGCCATTGCCTAAGCGCTTTGCCTGTTCTTCTTTGCAGAATGCCCTCCCATTGGGATGGAATCCCACCGAATCGAGGATGACCAAATTTTAGCTTCCTCCATGCTGCGGCATGGCTTGGGAGCCCAGCGTGGACGCCTCAACATGCAGGTAAAGCTGCCATGCACGGAAGAAATGGCCTTTTCTATCCTGTGGCTACCCACCACCTAAGCAAGCATCTACTCCTACACCTAAGAATGACTGGAAAAATCACACACACACTCCCTGTAGCTCCAACGCTGCCCCCCGCCGAATATAATAGAATCAGAGAATAGTAGAGTTGGACGGAGCTATGAAGGCCATCGAGTCCAGTCCCCTGCTCTTGCAGGACACCAAGTTTCACCATCCCACCCATGACACACTTCAATGATTCCCACACAATTATTTTCCACACTCCAATGATTTCCACACCTCTTTCTGCCTGAGGGTCAAATCCCATTTCAGAGACGTTCTTGGGGGCTTTGTTCCATTGGCAAACTGGGTCAAAGGCAATAGGTTATGGAGCCAAAGGCAGAAAAAGTGGGAAGAACTATCCTTGAATTTAGTTTTATGCACCACTAGTTTTATTTACCACTAGTAATCAAGCTTTGGGAGAGGCATTCCTAGTGTCTAGAATGGGGAAAATTCAGAATTCACAAAAGCTGAGAAACCAGCACGTGCTGATTAGCAAACTGGGAGGGGTCAGGGAAAAGGGCTCAGCCTTCTGGGGAACCTGGGAGGGCCAGAATTTGGCCCACGGTCTGACAGTCCTGCTTACATGGGTCCTTCCTCCTCCTCCTCTCTTGTCATGGCTTCTCTTCCAGGCTGGGGCCAATGAGGATGACTACTTTGACGGCGCTTGGTGTGCAGAAGATGACAGCCGCATCCAGTGGATCCAGGTGGACACCAGGAGAACCACCAAGTTCACGGGAGTCATCATGCAGGGCCGCGATTCTGTCATTCAGTACGTGTGGGTGAGGCCAAGGAGGCCGGGATCACTGGAATAGCTGCAGTGAAAGTCTGTGGAGGGAAGGCTGCTGACTTTACCTGGAACAACCCACAATCATGCAAACATTCCTATCCCTTTCTCAGCCCTCTCCTCTGGTTTTCCCAGGCCTAATTCCCATACTTCCCAGGATTTGTTCACAAGGACTAGAACTGTGCTTTTTCCTTTTGTCTCCCACAGCGAAGACTTCGTCACCACCTTCTATGTGGGCTTCAGCAATGACAGCCAGAACTGGCACATGTACAGCAACGGCTATGAGGAAATGGTATGTGTTCATTCAGCCAGGAGGCATCGCCCAGGATGATGTCACTGCAGCTTTAACAATGGTGGTGCCTGTTGAGAATATTGGAGACCATGATGGGAGTCTGGCTGGTGGTGAATGAACAGCAAGGATCTGTACTGAGGTTTAGAAGTTCAGGATTAAGGAGGCTGAGAACATCTTGGTAGGAACCGAATCTATCAATTTCTAGGTCAGTTTGCCAACATGATATGACAGTTAAAAAACCAGCAGGTTAAAAGCAGCATAACAAGCACACATGAAAAGAACATAGAAATCGAGCGAGTCAGAAGGGGTCTCCCGGGCCATCTAGTCTGACCTCCAGCTCCAGCCGGCTCCACTGCTGTAGTTACCTGTTCAAACACTAAGATCATCATCTGAGGCCCTTCTCCAGATATCCCTGCCAAGTAAGGTGAGGCAGGTGGCTATAGGCAGGAGGGCCTTTTCAGTGATGCCACCGCATCTGTGGATTGTCCTCCCCAAAGAAGTTAATTGGGCACTTATGTTACAGTCTTATCAGCACCAGGGTGGAAACCTTATTCTCTCAGGCATTCTAAGAATGGTTTTTAGCACTTTTAAATCTTAGCATTCTTTTATTTTGTTTAGATTTATTTTGTTGCTGCTGCTAGAGTGTTTTTGCACTTTGCTGCTGGCTTTATTTTGGTTTTATGATGTGATATCTTCATTTATTGTCTGTATTTATGTGCTAAATGTATCGTACATCATCCAGGATTATTGGGTGATTTAAAGCAATCATTATCTGCGTGCAATACAATGCAATGGTCACTCAGTCAAGGACAGTAAGCCCAGATGGGCTGCTGGCATTAAAGAGGCAGGGGTGGAGTGAGTAAACAGCAACTAGGAATTAGTAATACTTACATTACAGCAAGATTTTAAAGTTTTTTGTTGCCTATACAGCTAAATTGATTTCAAAATAAGGTACCACATTTTAAAAAACAAACCTTTGCTTTATTCTCAGATCTGCCAGTAGATTCCCCCTTGGATCTCCGTCCTCTTGCTACCTCCTTCGAGAGAGGAGTAGTGAGAAGACCGTGGTAGAGGACACTAGGGCAGTTCCGGGGGGGGCTCAGCAGAATGAGCCGGAGGGGCCCTAAATGCAGCAGGGTTCAGTTACAAGACTTTGAAGTAAGTGAAGTAACTCGCAGTGTAGCCTGAAGAGAGGATCCATGCATGGAAAACTACCTTAGCGTGTAGCTGCACTATAAGGACCTCAAAGGAGGGAGGCCTTAGAGCCACAAGGATAGATTTCCAGGAGTGATTTCGAGGTTGGCCCATCGTGTTCCTAGCTGGACTCATGTATTTATTTCTCCATTCGGCACCTCTCTCTTCCAGCTGTTTTATGGAAACGTCGACAAGGACACGCCTGTGATGACTGAATTTCCTGAGCCAAAGGTCGCCCGCTTCATTCGCATCTACCCACTGACCTGGAATGGAAGCCTTTGTATGAGGCTGGAAGTCCTGGGTTGTCCTCTCTCCAGTAAGCGTTGGAAAAAGCGTGGCCCCCAGGCTTCAGGAGGCAGCGCTGCAGAGAGCCTTAAGAGCTAAATGACATTTTAAAAACTGCATTGACTTAAGATAATTAGACTTTAACCTTAAATCAAGTTCTCAGGGTGGCTAATAAGGACGGTATACATGTAAGGGCTTACGTTTGCAAGGGGACAATAGTGTTTTTCCATGCAAAAGTCACAGGGTTCAATTCAACTGTGTGCTCCTTTTTTAAAGGAGCAAAACAGCATTCTTCAACCTGGTATCCTCCATCAGTCTCTATAACCCAGGAGTTATAGGGAGCCTGGGTAGCAGAGTAGTTAAACAGTGCTGGATTGGGTCTCAGGAAATCTAGGAATTAGTCCCCACTCAGCCATGAAGCCCACTGGGTGACTTTGGGCCAGTCCCTGTCCCTCAAACTAACCTACCTTACAGGGTTGTTGTGAGGATAAAATGAAGAGGCCTTGTAAATCACCTTGCAGGAGAAAGAAAGGCAGGATATAAATGCCATGTGATTAGTAATGATGGTGATGAAGACAATAATTATGATAATATTAAGCATAACATAGAAATGGATGGCAAATGCTTCTGCTTTGGACCTTGCGGAGCCGCTGCAAATCAAAATAAGTAGTTCTGTGCTAGATGAACAAAGGTTGTGACCAGACATGGAGTAGTTTTCTACAATTTATTTTGTTTTTAATGTGGAATACAGCTCTACCTCCTAGCTTTCAAACAAGCTGCCAGCTGGGCTTGAAGACCATGCCTTTAAAGAACAAGAATGCCCGTTTATCCAAGGTCACCTGGTGAACTCTGTGACTGAGTGGTGCTTGGATTATCTGAGTACAAACCCAACACCCTGCCCAGTTCAACTCCACAACACTCATAGGACTGGATTAATCCCATTCCGTTTCTTTTTTCTTTGTCCGTGTCCGTTTGTTTTTTTCAGGCATCAACAACTATTACACCCTGCAGAATGAAGTGATGACATCTGTGGACAACCTCGACTTCCGCCATCACAACTACAAAGATATGAGACAGGTGAGGATGTGTGCTGGGGCAGAGCCATGCTGCGCAAACCTTCGGTTAAACATGAGCCAGTGAAAGGGAGAGAAAACCGGGCAAATTCTTAGTTGCACAGCTGCTCCAGAGGACTCTATCTATTTCCAACTTGAGCTGAATAATCTGTGAGGTCTGTCTAGTGATGGACGTAATAGGTGCTTGATGTGCCTGGTGTTTGTGCTCTTGCAGGTACAGATCTATCACTTTAGTTGTTGTTAGTCACGAAGTCATGTCCGACTCATTGCGACCCCATGGACAACACTTCTCCAGGCCCTCCTGTCCTCCACCATCCCCCGGAGTCCACCCAAGCTCACACCAACTGCTTCAGTGACTCCGTCTAGCCACCTCATCCTCTGCTGTCCCCTTCTTCTTTTGCCATCTATTGTTCCCAGCATCAGGCTCTTCTCCAGGGAGTCCTTCCATCTCATTAGGTGGCCAAAGTATTTGAGTTTCATCTTCAGTGTCTGGCCTTCTAAAGAGCAGTCAGGGTTGATCTCCCCTAGGACTGACTGGTTTAATCGCCTTGCGGTCCAAGGGACTCTCAGGAGTCTCCTCCAGCACCACAACTCAAAGGCCTCAATACTTCTGTGCTCAGCCTTCCCTATGGTCCAGCTTTCACAGCCATACATTGCAACTGGGAAAACCATAGCCTTGACTGTACACACTTTTGTCAGCAGGGTGATGTCTCTGCTTTTAGTATGCTGTCTAGATTTGCCATAGTTTTCCTCCCCAGGAGCAAGCGTCTCTTAATTTCTTGGCTGCAGTCGCCATCTTCGGTGATCTTGGAGCCCAGGAAAAGAAAATCTGTCACTACCTCCATATCTTCCCCATCTATTTGCCAGGAAGTGAGAGGACTGGATGCCATGATCTTAGTTTTCTTAATGTTGAGTTTCAAGCCAACTTTTGTGCTCTCCTCCTTCACCCGCATCAAGAGG